GAAGAAAAGTTAGTGACGTGGTGCCTAAATGTTTTATATTCTATGGTACTGTCTCGTAAATCTATGCAAAACCAAATTATCGCCCTTCTATCATTTCTATGCTTTTAAGTGTATTTCTCCTGGCACAATCTTCATACATACATACATACATACATACATACATACATACATACATACATACATACATACATACATACATACATACATACATACATACATACATACATACACACACACACACACACACACACACACACACACACATACATACATACATACATACATACACACATTGTATACATTGTGTTTTTTTTTTACAAAAAAACCTAGACACTTAGCGTTGTAAATGTCATGATGACGATGACGACGACGATGACGATGTTTCTGATGGCGATGATAACGATGTAGACTATGTTAGAGATGATAATGATGATAGAGATGATGATGGAGATGATGATGATGATGATGATAATGATGAAATGGTGATTGTGAGGACTTTGATGATCTTGCGGAATGAAATGCATCTATTAAACTGATTGCAACAAATCACATCGATAAATGGCCATTAGTTTGTCTCTCTCTCTCTCTCTCTTTCTCATTCTTTCTCTCTCTTTCTCTCTTTCTCATTCTTTCTCTCTCTCTCTCTTTCTCTCTCTCTCTCTCTATATATATATATATATATATTTATATATATATTACATAGGTACATGTGTTATACAATATATGCAATATACGTTCGTCCAAGTATTTTGAGATCCGAAGAAATGATACTTGGATAGGTGGTGGGTCATCACACACAAACACACACACACAAACACACACACACAAACAAACACACACACACACAAACAAGAAAATACACACACACGCACAGCGCATAAGACTACGAGTAAATACAAGCATCACACCCGTTTGTAGTCGAACCAGGTCATTGCAGCAGCGGAGGCAGGCACTTTATCCACTATACTATCATACCGCCATATATATAAATGTATGTGTGTATCTTTCGATATTGGTATGTGTGATGTATGTCTGTATGCGAGCGTGTGGGTGTGTGTGAGTGTGTGTGTGGGAGTGTGTGTGTCTGCATGTTTGTATGACGATGTATGCTTAACTTTTTTGTATATTTATTTGCATTTTTAATATGTTTGTATGATTGTTATGTATATATATATTTTTGTATGTTTAGTTGTACTCTTTGGCGTTTTTAAGTATGTCTAAATGTGTCATCCTACTTCAAGTTTTTTATGCCAGATGTGTCATGTTTTAATATTCTTCCAATACATGGTACACACACAAACACACACACACAGGCATACACTTACATACATACATACACATATATGTATCTGGATAAATGTAAATTTGGATTTTGACTCCAAATTACAGCTGGCTTGTATTTTATGTTTGTGAGTGTATGTATGTGTGTATGTGTGAGTATGTGTAAGTATGTGTGTGTGCATGTGTGTGTGCATTCATGTATGTATGTGTATGCGTGTGTTTTCCAGCTTAATTGATCGATTACCGCAAGTCAAAGTTTTTCGCTGATGTTGATGTGGTCGAGGATGTGGTTGTTGTTGATGATGATGTTGTTGTTGTTGTTGCTGATGATGTTGATGTTGTTGTTGTTGTTGATGTTGTCAAGGATGTTGTTGTTGATGTTGTTTGTTGTCGAAGATGTTGTTGTTGTTGCTGTTTTTGTTGATGATGTTGTTGTTGATTTTGATGTTGTAAAGGATGTTGTTGTTGATGTCTTTTAATTTTATTACCGATGTTTTGTTTGTCTTAGTGTTGTTAATATAGTTCATGTCATTTGTATTGTTGTTGTCGTCGTCGTCGTTGTTGTTGTAGCCATTGTTGTTGTTGCTGCTATTAGTATTGATGCCGTTAATGTAGTTGACGCTATTAGCGTAGCGTATGCGGCTACAGCACTGTTTGCAGTTGAAGTTCTTTTAATGGCGACAGAAATTTATAAGGGCTTATGTTTCAATTAAACTGGCTGGCTACTAATAAAAGCTTAAACGGACAAACACGTGTGTGTACATATACAAACATACACACACACACACACATACATACATACGCACAAACAAACATACACACACACAAACATACAGAAACATACACACACATACACACAGATACATACAGATACACACATACATACAGAAATACATACAGATAAACATATACAAAGCTTGCACGTATAGATATGTAAATACACACATATATATGTATGTACATAAATGCACTTATAAATACATGCGTCGTATATATATTTTTACACACGCACATACATACAACCAAACAAACCAACAAACAAACAAACACATAAACAAACAAACATAAAAAACACTTAAGAAATCCTTGAAATTTGCAATATGGAGTTAAAGGAAATAAGCTGTGAGGATGTAGACAACAACAACAACAACAACAACATCAACTACGTCAGCGTCATTGTTGTGACGTCATCTTATTACGGACGAATGAGAGTTGGCAAATGCGTCAGTCCCAGCTTTGGATACGTTGGCTGCAAGGTAGGTGACGTCATCAACAACAACAACAATAATAATAATATTGATAATAATAACAACAATAACAGTAATAATAATAATAGTAAAATTAGTAGCATTTCTTTGATCTTTGTCATCTAATTGGTTGTCATTATCTTAAAACGAAAACATGATGCAATAATTAAGTGATAATAATTTATGTGACAAATTTTAAAAACTGACAGATTTTAAAAAATCCTGTAACTACAGTAAAATTACAACCGCTCAGAAACAAACCCCGCTACCGAAAACGATAAATATAACCGCCACACGCCCATCCTTACATTCAGACTGACGTCATTTCCGTCATGGACCGGAAGTGCTCTGGCCGACGGAAATGTTCGATTAAACTGCCGGACGACGATATGTACCGATTAGTGAGAAACTCTTGCCCGGCAGATGTCACGTTGTACCTACATTTGCAGTACTATTGCGCCAGAGGTACGTTGAAAAACAATTAATTAATTAAATAATTGATCAATTAATTAATTATTTAATAACTAATTGTTAACCAATTAATTAAGCAACTAATGCACTAATTTTATAACAACATTTGTGGGTTCGTCTGGTGTAGTTAAATGAATGAAAAGTTCAAATTTAAAATTTCAGTTGCCACGCAAAATACGCCAGATTTGTCATCTTCTTCCGTTTCCTCCTTTTCCTCCTCACCCTCCTCCTCCTCATCATCATCACATTCCACCCTATTGGATCATCACCACCATCATCACTTACGTCATCTGACGCTGGCCAATCAGGAGAAGGGGTATATATCTCCGTGCTCTGATAAGTTATCGCTCTCTTGCGTCTGGGGTGTCCAAGTAGAGATGGGCAGAAGGATTAGATTTACTTTACTTGATTTTAATTCTTTGGTATCTAATTCGTCGTTGTTATTATCGTCCACATCATCGTCATCGTCATCTTATCAAATGTTTAAACAACACTTAAATCGTGAGTGGGCTATAAATTTATTTTTGTTTCTGCTGCTTATTTGATGTCTAGACTGCCTTTGTTGTTGACTTTCATGTTTATGTTGTTGTTGTTTATGTTTTATGTGGTTGTTTATGTTGTTGTTGTTGTTTATGTTTTACGTGATTGTTTATGTTGTTGTTGTTGTTTAGTTGCCTTCGTGTTGATGTGTTGTTTATGCTTATAAAACGTTACTGACAGAGTAATTAATGGTCGCTTTAATTGCATATCACACAGACACATCCGTCACGTCATCATCGTCTTCTTCTTCTTCCTCTTCTTCCTCATCTCCATCCAACTGCCTGAAATATCTGGTGATAACAGAGTCCAACCACCAGCAACAACAACAACATCAACAACAACATCATCAACATCAACAACATCAACAAAAACATCAACATTCGAGTATGGAAGTCGTATGCGGCGGAGTACCAAGACCAGGGGGAGAAGGAGGGATGACGATTATGGTGATGGGAAGGGAGAGAGTAGTGTACACGTCATCAGGTAGTCACGTGACGGTTCAAACGTTTGCCGTCACTTCCGGTAGATTGCGAGGTGGTGGTGTTGGTGATGATGACGATGATGCCTTTATTTTTCTCTTGAAATATGAAGGTGGGTACTTGAGTCTCGATGTCATCATGTTTCATCATTTTAATCATTTCCTAAGATCACTTTATTATCATAACTTTATTATCATAATTCACTATAACCATCTTATCATCATCATCACCTTCGTCATCATTGACAACGTCATCATCATCACCAGCGTCATCATCATCATCACCATCGTCATCATCATCACCATCTTCATCATCATCATCATCAACTTTCCCCGTCAGTTATTGGCTGCGCTGACATGCGTATAGAGGATCACATGACCTCAAAGAAAGAACATGATAGGCTGATAGTTTCTTGCAGCAACAACGCCCTAGCGACCAACGTATTGACGTGCGTGGGCGGCAAGTGGGTGGGTAGCCTGCCACAGTGTCACATGTCGAATAAACATAATGCTATTGGTTAGTTGGTTGTACGGTTGGTCTGCTATTGGTTGGCTGGTTGTTCGGTTGGTCTGCTATTGGTTGGTTGGTTGTTTGTTCGGCTGGTCTGCTATTGATTGGTTGGTTTCGGGCTGGTCTGCTGTTAATTGGTTGATTTTCGGCTGGTCTGCTATTGGTTGGCTGTTCGGTTGGTCTGCTATTGGCTGGTTGGTTTGGCTGCTGTCTGATTTGTTCGCTGGTTTCATTGAGCCGCTGTTTGATTGGCTGTTTTTTTCGTTGGGTATGGTTTAGTTTGTTAGTTGATTCATTCGGTGTAAGATCAAAGTTGATGTTTTGAAGGGCGGGCGGTAGTTTTTTTTTAAAATGGCAACAAAGTATCGCTGCACTGTTTTTATTGTCCTTCATTTGCTATTTCATCCGATAATTCAATTATTCGATCATTCATTCATTGGTTTATCCATCTTTCGGTCGAACTATCCATTCATCCATTCTTTTGGCAATTAATTCATTCATTCATTCATTCACCCGTTTATTCGTTCGTTCGTTCATTCATTCATTCGTTCGTACGTTCATTCATTCATTCATTCATCGGACCAGGCTTAAAGCTTCAGAGGTTTTGATTGACAGGCTGTTGCCAAGGCAACTGTTCTAATGCCTAATGAACTGATTGCTAAGATGGTGACGACGATGACGATGTGATGACGACGATGGTGACGATGATGATTGTAAAGATGGTTCTTACTCTTTTGTCCGTAAGATGAAGATGAGGACAACGAAAATGCTGATGATGATAATAATGATGATAATGATGAAGATGATGACACTGGTGATGATGATATCACTGATGATGGTGACGAAGATGATGATGATGAAAAGAAAGATGATGATGATGATGATGGTAGTGATAAAAAATTAGCAGCATTGACAGCTTTGACGTGACGTTGATTGATTTAAGACGAGAGGAAGTTAATTTAAAGATTTTAAAATTAGTTTCGAAAATTAGAAAATATATAAATAAATAAACAATTAAATTAATGAATTAACTGAATAATAAATTAATTAAATTATAGACTGTAATTATAAACTGTAATTTAAACGCGAAATCAAGTGAAAAATAAAATAAAATAAAATAAATGAAAGTAAAATAATGTTAATCTGGCAATGTAATTAAGTTAATCTTCTCAGAAGCTTCCTGTTTCTCTCTGCTCCCACTCACTATCTCTTTTCTTTCTCTCTCTCTCTCTCTCTCTCTCTTTCTCTCTCTCTCTCTCTCTGTTTCTCTCTCTCTTTCCTGACTTATAATCCTCTTTTCTCTTTCATTCTTCCACTTTCTCTCTCTCTCGCTCTCCCTCTCCACCATCTTTATTTTTCTTCTCTGATTAATAATTTCTCTTTCTCTCCATTTTTCTCTTTTTCTGATTACTAACTCTTCTCTCTATTCTTCTCCATATCTCTTTATCACTCTACTTTTTTCTTTTTTTCTTCCTCCGGTATCATTGTCTGTATCTCTCTTTCTCTCTCTCTCTTTCTCTCTCACTCTTTCTCTCTCTCTCCATCTCTTCTAATTTCTAACCTCCTCTGTATCTCTTACTCTCGATTTTTGGCTTCATTATCTTCCTTTTTTCTCCCCTCTCCCTACTTCTCAATCTCACTTTCAAAATGTCATTAAATGTTACACGGGCATAACTCAAAAGGCACTTCGTACATAAATATGCAATGAATGAATAAATAACACACACACACACACACACACACACACACACACACACACACACACACACACACACACACACACACACACACACACATATATATATATATATATATATACACACACAACAACTAACGGCCATATTGAATGTTGTTAAGTGTCTTCATGGTAGCAAGGGACGAGTTAGGAAGATGGATGACGTCAGAGAGATGGGTGGATGGATGATCAAATTAAGTTAAATAAGTCGCATTCGTTCGTCATCATCCTTGCATCAGCATCATCGTTTTAGTTCCATCATCATCATCATCATCATTATTATTATTTTTCTATCGCCCTCTTCTTCTTCGTCATCACCGTCGCTCCATTATTGACAAACACTGTTCGTCATCGTCGTCATCATCAACATAATTTATTAAACCACTTCAATGTAATATATTAACTTAACATAATTTATTCATTGTCCTCCACATGACTACCTGCCACCAATCAGCAGACGGCACAAACGACCAGCAACAGTCATGGAACAGTCTTTCCATCTTCACTGACAGCTCTCTTGGTAGGCCAACCAATCACACAAACTAACTGAAAAATTATTAAAGTATTATAATTTATTCGAAAATGACCCCTCTCCTTTAAAACCTACAGCCATCCTGTTAACAGTGGGCATAGGAATGGCATTGGGCGTGGTCATCGGATCTGTATTGCTCCTCCTACTGCTGGCTTACTGCAAGAGGTTTGGCACGATAATTTGCAAAAATTAGAGCAAGACAATTCACGATCACAAGGGCTCATTAACATTCATAAATTATGTATGAAACTGATTAACAAATAACAATCGCAACTCAAAACTTTAGTGTCATATATTATTATCTATAAAGCATACACATACGCCGCCTGCATTTAAAGCAGGTAAGTGCGAAATAACGCAAGTAACGGCGCTCTTACCATCTGGACTATCTCGTCTTTACGTGTTCTTTCGAAGGAATAATTGAAATAAAATTTATTTACTGAAAAGCAGAAAGGAACTACCACGGTCGCCACAATACCAGGACCAATCGTCGCCGCAGATGTACAATGACGTCACCAACAACAAACAATATTCCAGCTGTTTTATGGCAGGAAACAACTGCGACCAACTTCCGGCACATCCCTACTGCACGCAGACAAGCACATCTCCACAACAACAACAACATCTTACTGACGTGGATTACAACAGTTACAACATACAACAACAACAGAAAATTATGGTAATACCAAATTTCAACAATACCGATACACAGACCAGATGGACTGATGATGACGACATCAACAACAACAACAACAATAATAATAATAATAACAACAACACGATGGAGCTACTACTCGATACCGAATGCAAAATAAGCCAGCAGCACCAACATCAGCCCCACCATCATCTTCATCACCATCATCTCTATGACATCACAGGATAGTGATGACGTCATAAGCGCCACAACATTTATTAATTATAGAAATTAATAACAATAAAGTATGGTAAGATAAATAATTATAAATAAAAATAATAGAAACGGGGCAATCTTTTTTAAAAATTGTTAAGAAATATTTAAAGAAGTTAATTAAGTGATTCAAATTTTACTGTTCTCAGCGCCAACAACTTTCATCCACTCATTCATTCGTTATTCATTTATTTAAATCTTTCCATTTTTCAACCATTCGTTCGTTTATTCATCAAATCCGGAATTAAATTCTTCTTTCCGGTATTTTCATTCATCAATCAGTGTATTAAAAAAAATGTCTGTTTAAACTTCCATCTTTTCATTCATTCATTAATCAATCATTCATTCACTTTTTAATTTAATCATTCACTCATTCATCCATTTTACCAATCAATTTATCCATTCTTTCATTCATTCACTCATCCATTCATTGAATCCGTAAATTCACAATTCATCGAGTCTAATTAATAACGCGTTTTTATAATAAAATTCGCCGTAACCTAATAATTAATGTTCTGTTATGTTATTGCTGTTATAATTAATTATTATTACCGATTATTATTATTATTGTTTATTATTATTATTGTTGTTTATTATTAGTAGTATTGTTATTATTATTATTATGAATGCTGTTGCTAGCTGTTATTGTTAATAAGATTTATAATCCTAAGAAAAAAGAGAACCCGTAGCAAATTATTTACGCTCATAATTTTATTCATGGAATAATAATTAATCAATTTTTATAATTAAATAAATAAACTATCAATTAATAAATTAATCAATTATGGCATTAATTAATTAATTAACTAATCTACTGTAACTTATTATGACGATAATATATAACGGAAAACTTAAACCAGGGATCGTGAGTATGAATGAATGAATGAATGAATGAATGAATGAATGAACGAATGAACAAACAAATGAATGAATGAATGAATGAACATGAACGAACGAATGAATGAACGAACCAAAAAATAAGTTTTAATAACGCAGTAACAAGATAATTAATAAAGTCATCAACAACCTTCTCTATAACTCTATAATAAGAAAGTGGTAGAGAGATAATAATAATAATAATAATAATAGAATGAATGAAATAAACGATTGAATGACTGAACGAAAGAATAATGAATGAATGAATCAAAAAAATTTACAATCAATCAATCAAAATTATGCCCATTCGTCGTTACCATCTTGTCCTTGAAAATCTGTCAAATATAATAATAATAATAATATAATAATAATATATAATAATAATAATTATAATTATTATAAACTTATAAAATCTATGAAAAACACCAAGAAAAAAAAGCATTTAATTAAGAGCTAGCTAATACATAACAAAATACACTATACTTATAAACTACAAACACACACAAAGCACACACGAGCGCACACACAACTATAATAACATTTCTTTGACCCGACCTCGATAACTAGGCCTGCAGCTATGGTGTGACCTCCTTTCCTCAACATGAACCGACCTAATTCTTTAAAATTTGAATAGAGTTCTATGCAAATAGGCCGGTCAACCTTTATATCGACAACTGCACTTGTGTTCTTTACCAGACATCTGCTCAGAAAAAGCAAGTAATAAAATAGATAACAATAAAAAAAATATTAACAAATGTACTCAGTATCTTTAGGTAACAGGTGAATTATTGTTGATGATGTTGATGAAAGTTAAGGATTAAAATTAGGCAGCAGGTGAAATAGGGATGTGCCAACCTTGGTTTTCTTTTGATGACTTCCCCGGTGTTTCTGTGCAGTTGAGAGATGAGTCGAAGGACGACGGCTTGCTCCGTCATCGATTGATAATGCAGAACCACCTGCCGATCAATCAATCAATCAATCAATCAATCAATCAATCAATCAATCAATCAACCAACCAACCAATCAATCAATCAATCAATCAATCAATCAACCAACCAACCAATCAACCAATCAATCAATCAATCAGTCATGAATGCAATAAAAAAAATGCATGAGAAAATGAATAAACAAATGAATGAACAAACAATTGTACGATTGTATGAAGAAGGAACGCGCCCAAGGAAAAAGGAGTGAATGATTGACTGAATGAGAGAGTGGTTGATGGAAGGAATGAACGCACCTGGTGACCCTGCATAATAGGCACATCAATGTTGAAGATGACGATACGGGCTTGGAACAAGCTCGTTTGCTGTACCGGTCGACCCAGATCACACAATATACTTCCTGTTTAATTGGGTCAACATTTGAATATGTATTAAACCAACGTGTAACTGCTAATTAGGTCGACGTTTGGCTATTCAACGATTTCAAATTTAGGTTACAAATAAAAAAAAAAATTGAACGAGGGAACTAACCAATTGCGAGTTTGTTCATGTCGATCCCGGTCACAGTGACAACACAGCTGTCTCCAGCGAATGCTATAGGTACCTGGGCATCATCTACCATTATGTCTGCAAGTAGGTGTCAGATATACATGCTGTGTGTTTGTTAGTGTGTGTGCGTGCGTGCGTGCGTGTGTGTATTTGAGTGTAATTTTTTATAAGAAACAAAGATTCAAAGGCCAGCATACTTTTGACCGTGGCGACCTCATTGGCTGGAGCAACGAGGACTCTTTCACCTGATTGGACGTTGCCTGCATAGATGACTCCTCCCACTGCGAATCCTGCTCCCATGCCTTTGAAGACATCACTGACGCACATGCGGAGTTCCTTATCAAGGGCAGGCCGTATTGGTGGGCGGAACTGATCTGGTTGGTGGTCAAGAAGTCAATCATTTTTTTATCCAATCAAATATTATATTTGATACTGGCGAGACACACCCACCTATCTGATCCACCAACGTAGGTCCAGAATACCACTTAAACTTATCCACTTCTGAGGGTTTGGTCAAGTTTTCTCCCGCCAATCCACTGCAAGGAATATAGGTCACATCTACATCTTTGAATCCTATTTGCTTGAAGAACTGACCCAATTTCTGAACAATTTCCGTGAACCTTGCTTGCGACCAATCAACAGTGTCCATCTTGTTGACAGCCACAGCTAGCTGGGTCACTCCTGGTTTGTGAAGCATTATCAAATTATAACAAAAACTGACCTAATTGCACAATAATAATTATTTCAGTGAATGGTGACCCAGATACATACCTAATGACCTGGCCAACATGGCATGCTCTCTTGTTTGACCTCCCATTTCAAATCCTGTCTCAAACTCGCCGCGTGTTGAGTTGACCACCAGGATGGCCACGTCTGCCTGGGCAGCGCCTGATGTAGGGGGTGGGTTTGAAAAATTTTCAAATTTTCAATGCGCTCAGTGAATCACCAAGTTGATCAAGATCAAGCAAAATTTCAACTAATTAAACTGAATCACTCAAACAAATAAGCTTTCAACTAACTCATCTGTCAACAACCCAACCAACCATCAAAAAACAACCCTTAAACCAACCCTTAAACTAACCAACCAATCAACCAGCCAGCCAACTAACCAGCCAACCAACAACTTACTAACCAGTGATCATATTAGGGATGAAATCCTTGTGGCCGGGGGCATCGATCAGCGTGATGACTTTAGTGTTAGTTTCAAAAGTTGTCTGTGCAACGTCCATGGTCACACCGCGTGACCTCTCCTCCTCGGTTTCATCGAGGACCCAGGCATATGCAAATGAGCCCTTCCCTATCTTCCTGGCTTCCTGCTCATACTTGTGCATAACCTGTGCGCGCGCGTGTGTGTTCGTGTGTGTGTGTGAAGTTGGTGATGAGAGGTCACCAGGTCAAGTTGGGTTGAGTATGTGAGATGATAGCTATGAGACGGTAGAGATAAGATAATGATGATTGATTGTAAAGAAGTTGAGATGAATCAAAAAGAACGCCGATAATGATGTTTTGAAGAATCATGTGCATGAGGTCGTCAGTAAATTCATCATCATCATCACCATCGCCGCCACCACATTCACCGTCTTCCTACCTTCTTACTGACGAATCCGAGTTGATACAAAACGTGGCCCATAAGTGTGCTCTTACCTGCATCTACGTGACCTATATTCAGGCAGGACGATTAACATGTAATTAGGTTACAAGTTAAATTAACATATTCCTTCACTAATTAGCCTTTAATGTGAATTAATTGTATAAGCAGATAGGCAAAATGTTAACCAACTAACCAATGACAACGAGGTTGAGATAATCCTTGCCTGCCTGCTTCCTCTTCTCAAATTCCTTCATCGGGTCCAATCTATCAATGCGAGCCCTGTGCTCATTAACATTCACAACATTAATTATTCGCATAATGATGAATTAATTGGCGCACTAATTAACATAAATTAGCATATATAATTATGCATGTAACGAATTGAAGCTTTGATAACTACCTAGAAGCACTTTTAGGCAGACCAGATCCTTCCGCAGTGAAGGAAGATGTGGAAGCGGATGTTGGCAACCTTGTTGACGCCATGGGTGTCGTCGGTGTCGTCGCGTCAATGTTAAAAGTTGCTGCAGCTGCTGCAGTTTCACCTACCAACTCGGCACCAAAGTCGTCGAGATCATGTTTCAATGGTTTGCTGTCGTATTTGTTGCTGGCGCTAACTGGTTTGTTTGCTGACTTTACTGATGTTGGAACTTTCGTTGATGCACCTGCTGCTGTTGTTGTCGTCGTGTTTGCTGCAGTTTTAGCACTTTTAGGATGCGATGATTGTGGCGTTTGTTGTTGCTGTGATTGTTGGCAGGTAGTCCGTTGCTGTTGCTGCTGTTGCATCTGCTGGGGTGTAGGCTGTTGCTGCTGTGATAATTGTTGATGTGATTGTAGTTGTTGTTTTGGTTGGAACTCAGCTGAGGTGAGTTTAGCATCAGCAGCAGCAGCAGCAGTAGCAGTAATATTAATAGCATCATTCTTCAAGTTATTTTTCTCTGCAGTATCAAGAGTCCCTGCAATGTTGAAACGAATGTGTGCACATGAACATTAATGAACGATATACAATACAACAACTACTCAAAAAACAACCACACCTTTCAGATCAGAGCCTCACAACAAAGTACACCAATAGTGAATAATATAACAAAGACTCAACAAACATCACTTACTATAACACACATAATGAAGCAGCAACACACACACACACAAACACATACACACACACACACAGACTAACACATACACACACACCAAACACACAAAAATCAAAACAACAACAGTACCGTCCATGATGAAGTTGACAGTTCTGTTGATGTCGTAGTTGGCAGACAGGGCTGCCCTGACCATCTCAACCTCCCCAATCATTTCGTCGACAACGCCTCTAACACCGTCCAAACACGTTGATAACTTTACTAAATAATAATAACAAAATAATAATAAAATACGAACCATACTAAGTTTCAATGATTTATTTTAAATAATTAAATATATAACCAAGCTTTATTCAAATGTACTAAGCTAATATAATAATATGAATAACTTATGCTAATGTACTGCATTATAAAAAAATTAGGTTAAATTTTGTGAATAAATTATGCAAATTAGCATGCACCTTTGTCTTCGATTGATAAGTGCGACGTCAAGCTTTCAACAGTTTCTTCATCTTTATCTTTAGCGTACGGATGTAAAATATATGATTTTTATACTTTTAATAATAGCGACGCAACAAATATAATTAATATTATTACAAATAATAATTAATATTAATAAACAAAATTATAAGATCTACGTAATAACCATCAATATAATCGTCATCATTATCATGATTGGCATCATCATAGTGATAATCATCATCACCATCGCCGAGGTAATCCTCTTCTCTGATTGGCTCCTCGTGATTTGAAAAATATATTTGATTGGCCTTGCTCCTGTCGTACGTAAACATGGCCACTGTTTAAGGAAAATATTTTTTGGGAAAATTAATTTTTTAAATGTTTACACAATAAGATAAAAAATTGAATAGGTAAATGATGAATATTAATCTAATTTGAAATTAATTTAAAATAATTTATCAATTATATAAATAAATAATTGAAACTAGATAAATTTATATTTTGTAAAAGATTTTTTTAAAGTAAACACATTAGCATAATTTATTCATACTATATTAGCACAATGTGAGTAAATCTGAACATAATAAAAAACAAACTGGTAGCAGGCGACACTCCATATTCTGTCTCTTCCACCGATCTTCCATACATATCATCATCAAACTCATATTCTGAAAATTTAAAAAAAATTTAAATGCATGTCAAACCCAAACTCCAAGCATGTCGATTAATTATAAATTGGCTGATTATATTGTCTGGGGTACTTTTTGAAACTAACTATGGAGATGGATATATTGAATAAATAAATCTAACTAACTAAACTAAATGTAACTAAAATTTTGTTGCTAACGCCATTGAATAATGTCTAATTAAAAATATTTCCATAATTTAATTTTAAATTGACCCAAAGGATTGTTACTTTAATTTAGTAATTAGTTAGTTTAATTTAACTTTAACGTTTAAACTAAATGTAAATTACAAAAAAAAAAAAAAACTGAACCAGAGTGACATGACAAGTGACAGACAACTAACCATCCTCTTGCTTCAAGGTTCTGATATTTCTGTGACGAGACATTTGTAATCAAATAAAAAATCAAACTACTTATATAATTTTTGCAAAGAAAAATCCGGGATTAAATTTTGAAATGTTTTCCTAACTAACAAATGTTTAGCAAACATTTTTTTCACGTTTTATATGTTAGTTAAGTTGGACGCATATTTACTCATTAGATTACCAAAAAACACATATATTTATATTAATACCTAAATTAACTTTTAATTAATGATATTTTTTCAAAAAGACGATTATTTTAAAAATTTTTATATAGATATGAAACAAAATTGTTTTAATTTTTTAAATAATTTTAACATAAAAATGTATAATCTAATGGGAGACGCTGGAAAACTCAATATAATTATGAAATGAATTCCGTTCTCGATACTCTTTGGTAAAACTATGTTTTCACTTTTAAAAATTGCGATTTTTTTTCCTAAATTTTGATTTATTTTAAAATAAATAAACGAAAAAAACGTTTTTATGGCGGCCGTATTAAAAAAAAGAGTTGTGGCTGAAATGACTCAGGCGTCTCAAGTAAATTGAATTTGAATTAAATTTATTAAATAATTAGAAAATTGGCAATTCGAAAGCCAAACTGAATGAATTGATTTCTAATTGATGAGCCAATTATAAACATTAGAATATAAAATTGTGAAAGTTTTTTGTAATTTTTTCTAATTAATTATAATTTCAATCTATTCATTTTTAATAAATAAATAATAAAAATGCTAAACTAGTGTCCAGATTAGTTAACTAACTTAAGTTTAGTATTTATGTAGTTATATAATATAAAAAAAATAAAATGGGATGCTTAATACAATTTTTAAATTGTATTGAATATTGATTAGATATTGGATCCTAATTAAAACTGAAATTTTTCTACTAATCACTGATGACCAAACTAATTCTCTAGCTGTAATTTTTTGTGTTTTCCCAATGCGCCTAGTTGTCCCCACCAGAAGTGAAAAAATTCAAACTTGAATTTGCACCCCCTCAAGCTAATGAATTCACATTTGATTTCAAGTTAGGATCAGGTATTAAAGAATCTTTGAAAGTATGATAATTTTTGTAATTTATTTTATTACAAATTGTTTTAATATTAATTATTGAAATTATTCAATTAATTAATTTGAAATTTTTTGAGTTTATTTAAAAAATTTGTCTGATTAATTATTACTAATTAAGATTGATTAATTTATAATAATAGTTATAATGTTATTTAATACTAATTAATTTTATCTCCAATTTATTTCAACTTTTCAGTTTCTATCTGACATAGAGGACATGTTCCCGATGGCTCCAAATCATTTACAGACAGTAATAGATGGATTGATGGGCTGTTTTAATTTAGACGGCGAGTCGATTATCAGGTTTAAAATCGTTCAGCTGCTGCATAATCTCATTAGAAATTCATCGTTTGACTCTGCGACCATCTTCACCAATGTTCTCAAGATGCTGAATAAAGATCGTTTGTGCTTACTATTTCAATAATAAACACTTTTTTATTTTCAAATATTTATTTATTTATTTTTATTAATTAAAATTTTTCCATTGTATTATTAACTACAAAAGAGATACAATGTGTTATAAGTCTTAAGTATATAAATTAGTAAATAAGTAATATTTATATGTAAAATAATACTTGAGTATAAAAGTAGGTATATGTAAATCGAGATGATAGATGACGATAATAATGACGTCTAAACTATTTCTCTTGATACCAAAGATAGATGAATTTTATTTTTTTTACCAGGTTCCTATTCGGTAAAAGCTGAATTGATATCTATGCTGACTACGATCGGTCTCTTGAATCATTCAGACAAGATCCTCGTCAGAAACATCATCAACGTAGCCGTGCAGGTCTATTTATTCTAATCTTTTTATAATTTAATTCATATTTATTCAATTTTCAGTTTAATTGTTGTAATATTTGGAATAATTAATTAATTAATTAAAATATAACTCACTAAAATGCAGAATTTGAACCATGATAGTCATAATATAAGAATAAAATGTCTGAAGCTGATTGGTCAACTTGGTAATGGTAACCTCGTGATTGGCCAGTCACAGAAAAGTATGTCACTTCTTGACATTATTATCAGTTCAACACAGGATTTTGATTGGAGGGTTCAGCTGGTTGCCTTTGAGGCCATCGTTAGATTTAGATTCATTTTTAAATTGTTATAAAATGTTATTTGGTGTATGAAATTTTATTTTATTTAATCTTGATAACACCAAAAATAAATGTTACTTTCAAATTTAAAAAAATTGAATAAATTAAGTATTTAAACATTAAATTTATATTGAAAATCTGAATTCCATCAACAACAACACAACAGCTGGAATGGCACAAAAGGGGAATAGAATTTGATTGGCTGACCTACAAATGTGCTCTCACCTCATTGGATGATGATCACGAAGGCATTCGATTGGTTGCCATGAAAATTATCTGGATCATTGCACAACAGCATCCTCACAAGTTGCAAATTATTTTTTTATTGTTTCAATATTTATGTTAAATAATTTTATTTTAATTCATTTTTTGATTAATATTAAATAATAATTATTATATAATTATTCCAATTCCAATTATTATATAATTATTCTAAATTTATTTATTTTGCTTAGATTTCTTTTGTCCAATGGCAATGGAAGCAAAAAGTTGATTGATGACTGCTTTGTTAATTTATGCGAATTCATGAATGACTCTTCCCCCAAGGTCAGAACCCAGGCTGCAACGCTATTGGTTAGTTTTTGTTTCTATTTTATCCGTGTTTATATTATTAATCTTTAATATTCATAAGAAATTTTAATTGGCATAATAATTATTTATCCCATTGATATTAATACCCCTCCTCATTAACATTAATTCAGCATCTCATTAATATTCATATACACTATCTCATTAACGTGAATTTCGCATCTCATTAACATTAATTAGGGCTCCATGCATGGCGTTAGCTTGCAGTTCTTGAGTCAGACCCTCGATAAGAAACTCATGTCCAACATGAGAGTAGGTTTTTTTTTAATGAATATTAATTAGTTTTCATGAATTAATTAATTTAATCGGTTGCTAGTTTTAATTAAATGTTGTTATTTTATAGTTTTCTAATTGATTTATTAAAATAAATAGTATTTAAATTAACTTAATTTATTATAATTTTATGAAAAGCGCAAGACCACCTCGCATGAGAGGCAGAAAGAATTATTTAGAAGTGGGGAATGGTCCTCTGGTAAATACATTTTTTCCTAATTTTATTTTTTGATTGTTTTTGTTTGTTTGTTTTCTTGTTTGTTTTATTGTCTTCTTGCTACATTGTTTGTCTCAGTTGTTTGCAGAGATTTTCATCTATTCATTCATTCATTCGTTTATTTATTTAAAACAATAAGAAACAAACCAAACTAACAACACAACAACAACATTATCAACGACGTCATCAACAACTACTCCACCAACAACAACAACAACTACGTCACCAACAACTACAACAATTACAACAACAACAACTACGCCAACTTCAACAACAACAACAAAACGAACAAAAATACATCAACAACAACAACTTCTACTACTACATCATCACCACCACCAATAACTACTACTACTACATCATCACCACCAACAACGACTCAGGTAAAAAATGGGGTGATGATAGCCCTAAGGAATGTTTGGACGCCGACAGCATAACCATCATCAGTGGAGGGGCTTGCGGTGCCTTTGTGCATGGCCTCGAAGATGAGATCGCTGGTCAGTCTGTTTGGTCATTCATTCATTCATTCATTCTATCTTTTGTCTATTTATTCCATTTATTAGTTCATTTTACCTGTCATTCATTTGATGTTTTCATTCACATGCCGGCTCATCTATTTATTCATTCATTCGTTTTTCGATTCGTCCATCCATTCTTTTAGTCATTTCCATCCGTTGGCTCGTTCATTCGTTCTTTCTTTTACCCTTCAGTTTATTTAATTTTCGCTCATTCACTCGTTAAATGGATGATTTTTATTTAAGTTTATTTTTACTCAAGGGGGATTTCCCACTTTTGAATCATCATCATCATCATCTTTGTCACCATCCTCTCACATAGCAGTCATCACCATCATCGTCGTAATCACCACCATCATCATAACATCATCGTCATCATCATCATAATCACCACCATCATCGTCATCATCATAACATCATCGTCATCATCATCATAATCACCACCATCATCGTCATCATCATAACATCATCGTCATCATCATAACATCATCGTCATCATTATAACATCATCGTCATCATAATCACTACCATCATCGTCATCATCGCCACCACCACAACCACAAACTCCACACAGCCGTTCGCAACGCATCAATCGTCTCGATGGGCGACCTCTCCTGTCGGCACGTGGACTTCAGCCACATGTGCCACGACTTCATCGTCGACATGTTCAATGATGAGATTGATTCAGTCAGATTGAATGCCATCAACAGTCTGGCCAAGATGAGCAGGTCCATTGTCATGAGGGAGGAACAGCTTGATATCATCGTCGGAGTACTCAAGGTTTAGGCATTTCCTCTTCTTTTTACTACTGCCACTGCTGCTGCTGCTGCTACTTCTACTGTTGATAGTATTTCAACATGACGAATAGAATTACTACTAAACTAACAACAACATGACAAAAAAAGATAGAATTACTACTAAACTAATAATACAACAACAACAAAATGACGAAAAAAAATAGAATTACTACTAAACTAACAATACAACAACAACAACCAACAACAACATGACGAACAAAAATAAAATTACTACTAAACTAACAACAACAACAACAACAACATGACGAATACCACGATACAACAGCACTGACCAACACGATTTAAACAGGACTTTTACGCTGAAATTCGGGAGGCCATGCACGCTCTGCTGTGCTGCTGTCGTCTGGCCACGAAATCAGGGATGGACTCGCTAGTGATGTCACTGCTGGATAATTTGACAAGATATCCAGAAGACAGGGTGTCCGTCTGGAGGTCGTTTGCACGTTCATTCTGTCGTTTCATTACTTTGTTGTTGTTTTTTGTTCTTTGTTATTATTTCTTTGTTGTTATCGTTCTTTGTTGTTACTACTCTGTTCTTTGTTATTATTACACTGTTGTTATTATTATTTCTTTGTTGTTGTTGTTCTTTGTTATTATTCCTTTTTTGTTTTCGTTCTTTGTTATTTTTACACAGTTGTTATTATTTTTTTATTGTTATTGTTCTTTGTTGTTATTGTTGTTTATTATTACTACTACTTTGTTGTTATTGTTCTTTGTTGTTATTATTTTCAGGGTGATGAAGTCTTTGGGAGAGAACCATCCGTCTCTCACCCTGTCTCTTCTGCCATCTCTCTTAAGTGTACACCTCTACTTCGAAACCAGGGAACATGAACTGGATGACCCTTCCTGTACGTTTCTGGCTTTCTCGTTTCGTCTCGTTTTATTGTTCTGCTTTGTTTTATTTATTTATTGTTTTATTCATTTTTTTTATTTCGTGTACATTCACTCTCTCATCATCATCATCGTCGTCGTCGTTACAGTGTTTTTTGTGATCATCTACTCTATCATCATCATCACTTGGAGTTATTCCTCAATCCGTTTACTAATTAATCCATTCATTTATTCACTCACTCACTCGTTCATTCATTCATCTATTTGTTTATCTATCCGTCCATCCATGCATTCATTCATTCACTCATCCATCTATTAAACCATTCTTTTATTCGTTCCAAACACCCGTCCGATTTCATAGACATAGGAGTCCTCTTGATGGTTTCGAACGCGGCTCCGCACTGTCCCACCATGCCCGCCCTCTTGCCACAATTCATCCCACACCACTTCCTCCACCTCAAAAACATGTACCCTGACCTAGTTCCAGATAATTGGGTCAGGTTGATTTTTTCCTAATTTTAATTGGGTTACGTAACATGTATTCTGAAAGATTTATTTTATTTTCTTTCTCTGTACAGTTCAGGCACATGAAAGACCTAATTCCCTACAATTCTATTGGACGGCCATTCAAAAATTTAGAGCACTCTCTGGCCAATGAGAAGAAGATCGTTTTGTTGATTATGTCAAAGTTGAATGTTTCCAGGTGCCCGACGAATTTGAGTGCTATGTTCAGTTTGGTTGTCGAAGTGATCAAGTTTGTCTATTCTTTCATTCATTCGTTCGTTCGTTTGTTTGTTTATTCATTCATTCGTTCGTTCATTTATTCAGTCAATCGTTCGTTCATTCATTCAATCAATCGATCTTTCATTCACTCATTCATTAATGATAAATCAGAGATTTGAAGAGGGTCAATCAGCACACTCCTATGTTGCAGTCGACCAATTACTTTTCACAACTCTACCTTAAGTGTTTTGTCGAGCTAGTTCAGGTTATCAATCAAACAATCAATCAATCATTCAATCAACCAATCAATCAACCAATTAATCTATCAATAATTTTATTAATTTATTATCGGCCATTTACTTCAATCATTCAATCGTTCTATCAACCAATTAATCAATTAACCAACCAATCAATCAATCAATCAACCACCAGTTAATCAATCAACGTTTATTCTAAAAATTCATCTGTGTTAATTCATCCTCATTTTTATCGTAATGACCTTTACTTCACTCACTCAGTCAATGAATCGTCAGAATTCACATACTGACGTCACGAAGGTGAATTTTAGAACAACAACAACCAACAACAGCAACAACAACAACAGCAACAACAACGAAGACATGAACAACAACTTCAATGGCAATGTCTTTGATGGTGAAACTACAACTCTCACCTCAGTCTCACCTACCATTAAAAAGGTGATGAGAGCCTCGACAACAAGAAAACGATAATTTTATTATTTCATATTATAATTATAATTTTATTATTACTCTTAATAATTGTAATAATACAAATAATAATCAGCCGTAAATAAAATTAATTATTAATATTACTACTAATAATAATATTAATAATGATTAAACATAATTTCTTCCGATCGACAGCTGGTGAAAATGATCACAGCGATCTCCAACCTAGCAGTCAGCCTCTCCGACGAACAGAACCAAGAACTCGACCGGCTGTCCTTAATTATTTCCGCCTACCACCTGTCAATCATCTTCACCGGCCTCAGTAATCAGCAGAGGAGCGGGGCTTGTCTGGCCTACTTGAAGTTATTCAATTCCTATAAGGAGTAAGTGTGGTTTGTGGTTTGACCTATTTAAAGTTAACCAATGGCGCCATTATTTATTTAAAAATCGTTTTAATTTTTTGATTTTAGTAAGTGGAAGGTAGAGGGTGGCAGCATTTTCAAGTGCCAGAAGTTCGAACTGAGGAATCAAGCGACAGCAACGACGACAACAACGACAACAGATTTTATAGACAACTTGTCTAAAGAGTGCCTAACCCTGCAACCATGTGACGCAACAAACTGTCACAGGGTGCTCGTCAGTGCCCTCAGAGTCTTCTCGTCGTCGTTCGTCTCGTCGTCATCTTCCCCATCGTCGTTGTCTTCATTATTTCCTTTCATCATGTTGGATAATCCCTTGAGGATGACCACTGCGTCCATTGTCGAACCTCCTGGTCAGTTGGCTATCAATTAGATATCATTCGACCAGTCCACATATCTGTCTGTCTGTCTATCTATCTATCTGTCTGTCTGTCTATCCATCTATCTATTCATTCATTCATTCATTCATCGATCTTTCCATTTATTTATCTATCTATTAACCAACCAACCAACCAACCAACCATCTATTTATTCAGTTTATATTGATTTCATTCTAATATGAAAAAAATATATAATTTTCTCTATACGAAATTCTTCATATTTTACGTTTAAATCTCCAAATTTTGTTTTAAAATTCATTTTATAAATATTTTTTTACGAAATTTTTACAAAAACTGCAGCCAGTTCCGACTTAAATCAGACGGTGATGCCAAATTATACGATGGGAGTTAGGATGGTTGTTAAGCTGTGGTGGGTGCAGCAGATTGGCAACGTCAGAATTCATGTTAGAATGGCTGGCGTGTTTTTTTTTTTCGTTTAAAGATTCTGTGTTTGTTTGTTTGTTTGTTTGTTTGTGTTGCTTGTTTGTTTGTTTGTTAGTTTGTTTGTTAATTATACTATACTATATACTATTATTATTATACATAGTCAAAGTACATTCGAACAATGTCACTGTGTAATAATAATCTCAGACCAGGCTCTCTTACCATTTCGGCTAGCTGACTCACCAATCTTATAATTCAATTGATTTTTTAGTAAATATAGTTACAAATTAGTATAATAATAATAATAAAACGAAATTAACCTCATTTAATATTTCCGAAAAATTATGGAATAAGTTTTAATCATGAAACTGATTTTCTTTTAAAAACGCAAAATCCGTTTGAAAATTTAAAAAAATTAAAAAAAAACTCCCAAAGGTAAAATACGCCGACGGTAAAGAGTACTTGATTCTACCGCCTCTGGAGCACTTCAAGTCAGTTAATAGTGCTGACCTGAGCTATAAACTAAGTACATATGCGTACATCAATCATCAGTGTTGGACAGGTACGTGGGTGTGTGTTTGTGTTTATAACTGTTAATTAATTACGATTTCAATTACAATTACTAATTGCCTAATTAATTAATTTCTAATTCTTAATTATCTTTTAAAATTTTCACTTCTTCTCCCTAGAACCCTGCCCCGTTAAACTTCGGATAGTTTATCTCTGTTCAACGAATTACGGTAAGATGATAGATGATATAACCTCGCCAAAAACATCAACGTCAGCAGCAGCAGAGGTAGTAGCTTCAGCGGCTTCTCGAGACGACGATGAACATGATTATATTGAATTGTCTGGAGTCTGTACTCTGAGTATTCACCCATCTCTACTTAGAGATTCGTCTTCGTCCATTCTTAACCACCAGAAGCCATCCAATAATAATAATTATTATTAATTAAGATGATTTCGTCATTAGTTTTTAATTGGTTAATTAATATTTATTGATAATAGTGGTAATGATAATTAAGGACTAATAACGAGAATTTGGTTTATTAATAAATTTCTGTTTGATTTAAGATTTTACGGATCAATTTTTTTAGTTGATTTACTCCTCACACACAAACAGGTTTAACTAAATTCAGATTTTTGGTGAGGTTTATATACATTTCTTAATTAACGTACTAATGCTCTCTTCGTTTAGTTTTTTAATTTTTAAAAACTTAAAATCGGTCAGAGTCTGATTTTAACATAAAAAAAAACATCCGAGAAAGAAGATACGTAGAAGAAAAGATCATGCACGAGCGCGTGTATGTGTCTGCCTTTCTTTTAGTTTACCCTTTTGCATACATGAAAACAAAAGAATTTTTTCAATCAAACACTTGATGTAATCTAATGTAACAGTTTAAATTTTCGAAATTTAATGTAAGCCACAAAATTGAATCATGTTAATTTTCAAATTTACATAGGAATCCTTCTCACTTTCAAGCATTTTGAATTTTCTGGTAGAATTTAGAAAACCTCATCGTCATCATCGACATTATCATTACCATCATCACTCTTATCAGCCCTACCATCATCATCATCACAATCATCATCATCACAATCATCATCATCACAATCATCATCATCATTACTACCTTGTGAGTCGTCATCATCACAAACTCCGTAGTTCTCCTCATCGTGTAACCTCTCGCAGACCAGTCTGAAGTCTGCGTGGCTCGCGGTAGACTGCTGCACATTAGCACGGATAATCTGAACAGTGCGGCAGAGAATTGTTTTTTTGTGTTATTCTTTTGAGAATCAGAATACAGGAATAATACAGAAATACAATAGTAATACAGAAATAGTGTATGTATATTTTATTATAAATGTTCTTTAAACTCAAAGTCAAACTTTGATTTGGTTTTGAGGTTGGATAAAATGTATTTTATTGTATTCTATTTTATTCTATTTTATTCTATTCTATTTTATTCTATTCTATTCTAACGCTGTTGAACATCGCGGAAATAGCGCTTTATAAACTGATTAATTGATTGAATGTATACTGTATTGTATATTATAGTAATGTATACATTATATAGATATATATGTGTATACTATATATATGTGATTGTTTGTATACTATATTATAGTAATGTATACATTATATATATATATATATATGTATACACTATATATATGATAATATGATTGACAACTTTTTTATCCAATAGAGGCGGGGTAAGCATTTCGTTTTGTAATTTCGACCAATCAGCTGTCTAGAAAATTTCACATTATATATTATTTATTATATATTATTGTAAAAATTATATTGTATAAATAATAATATTTAACCTCTTTGATCTTGAACCGTTCAACATAAGTACTAACCCCGAAGAATATATGCCCCATCAAACTCTTCGTCGTCACATCACTACTGCATGAGGTCATCTGATGATTATGATGACGTCATCGACATTATATTACGTCATTATTACATTACGTTACATCGGTATTACAACATTACAGGCATATCACGGTGTAACATTGTAGCAAAAAGGCGTACTTTACATTATAATCTATCAAAGATCATACTGAACTTACGATAAAAGATAATAATTATAATGATAATAGCTATAATAATATTCATCACCATGGTGATGAGATCTGTGACGTCATCGTCGTTCAAGAGGGTCACGTGCTGCTTGCAGCAGCTTACAAACTGGTCCTTATGGTTCGTGCAAATAGGCGAGTATTTATTTTAGTGAATTTAATATTCATTATATTTATGAATTAATATTATTTATCGGAATTATAATTTTTTACAACTCTTTTGTATTTCTCAGAACCACAGAAACTGCGCGTGTGATAAGCGGGGATCTCCCAGCAATCGAACCCAGCTAGAACAACAGCACCGTCAGGCCTCTTTACCATCGCAAAAAAAACACCGAATCAACCTGGTTAGTGAGCATCTTGAAGATGCAAGCGGCAAAATCTTTCAAATCATTTTGATAGGCTCTGCGAGAAACTTCACTCAAAATTTCGCCCCAATTTTTTTGGCCACTATTTTTACCAGCAGCGATATTATAGCTACGACCATCAGTGCTTTTGTGTAGAACGTGGTAGGCTGGTGAATGGCCAACATGTTGTGATGCGCCGAAGTCGATGAGGCATGCATAGCCCCTTGTGTTCAGAACCACGTTGTTCAAGTGCAGGTCCCTACATTTCATTTATTAGAAATTATATATTTTTTAGCATTGATCTACACTCCAAATTAATAACTATATCGTTTGAATTAATTAATACTGGGTATAAATGAATTTTGGTGTCTTAGATTGTTGCCCTTCAAGTTCATTTCAAAGTCTACAGCTAGTTCATATTACCGACACATCGCAACGAGCAAAGATATGAACAAGTACTCGCAACTCAGCCATAACAACTCACCCGTGTGTAACTTTGAGAAACGTATGAAGATGGTTCAGCGCGGACAGCATACAAGCCGAATAGAAACGCGTTACCTCTAAAGTGAATCTTCCACAAGTCGCTAACACCTGTTTCAAAGTCGGACCACCAAAGTTTAGCAGGCAGACGACCGAGTAGTTCTTAGATTGCAAAAGAAATAAAAAAATTTCAAGTTACCTACTAGAGAATTTTTTCAGTTACTTGTAAATTCTAATCTATTACTTTCAGCTGGTACTTGCCGAGCCATCGAGCAATGAAAGGATGAGGTCTTCGAGTTAATTTCTTCAAAGTTGCAACTTCTTTGGCCAGCTGATTCACTCGAATCCTCTTAGCAACCAACTTTAAAATTAACGAATCTTTCTCCGCTGAAAACACCTTAAAATTATTTGTAAAAAATTAAGAATGTGAAAATACGACAATTATGAACATACCGTGCTGCTAGTACTCGCCCTAAGAAGTGAAGACAATTCAAATTTACCAACAAAATACTTAACCAAACTCATATTTATGGTAGAATCGTCAAAATATTTCTTTAGAACAACAACCTATGATTCAAAAAAACTGAGTAAACTAACTAAAGTACTGAGTAAAGTAACTGAGTCCGAAGACGTCACCAGGAAACAAAACATGATAAAAAAAACGCTTGAAATATTTTATTCAAAAAAAAAAAAAAAATTAATAGCAAACGTTCAAATGTACAACGGATTTCTGAAACGAAACCAAAATAATGAAAAAAATAAAAAAAGTCTCATCTTTTCGACGAAAACACGAACAGTGTATGAAAATTATTCAAAACATTCTCAAATGACGACGACAGAGTGGCAACAACAGTTTCGTAATGGATGGTGGAGTCTTTTAGTCCAATCTCATCGCATGACATGACATGACATCACATGTATCTCATCCTCTTCATCAGTGGTGGTATGCGATTGGCATCTTGTTGATGATGGAATGATGGCAAAGGTCTCGGGGCAGGAGGTGGAAGTTTGCTAATGCCCAGAACTTTGTAAATCTAAAAATTTCATCTCGAGTTTTAATTCCAATACAAAATGGTGAAACTATTTCTCAAATTGTTAATAAAATTAGCAGTATCTACAAACAAAAAGCACGAGAACCAACCTGTCCATGAGCAATGAGCCTGAGAGCATGCTGGGCACTGTTGGTGACATCCTCCTTCTCCTGTGTGCACATGTGATCAGACGCGTCAACACGATTGGAGAGATCGTCTTTTGACCCCTCAGCACGATTGGTCGGTCGATTAAGTGGGTCAAGCAATCCCCACCCATCCCGTAGGAAGATGCCCGATGACACGATTTCAAACACCCTCCTCAGTCCAACTGCAGGCGAGACATTGTGATCCAGCGACATGCACCTCTCAACCAGCAACTCTAGCGTCTGGATGTTTAACGGCAGTTCAATATTATTTATCCCAACAAAAGCAACGAATAAAAAGGCAAATACTAAATTAATGAGCTACGCCCAATTCACATAGAACCACTTGAACACAAAACAAACACAGACAGACAGACAAACATGCACCCATAAAAACACATAAACCGACATAAACAAAATTCAGAGTCACAAAACCACACACCCATTGTCCCATGGGAGTCCAGGTAGGAATCCTCTTGCAAAAATCGATCAAAACTCGAATGAGAACTGTACACGCTTCGTTCATTATCATTGTATTCTGTTGTTGTTGCGACATTAACTAACATTAGTACATACAGTGAGAACATCCTTTAGCAGAATAATGACAAGAAAGGTACCAACATGGAACCATTTAGTCCTTTTGAGTTCGGTGAGAGCCCAGGCACAAACAGGCTCGTCGATATAATCATTGCCATCATTGATTCCAGCTGAACTACTGGACGTCGAATCAACAGTCTGGTCACTGGCCACAGCCACATCTGTTGACAATCCTGGCAAAAAAGATGTACCTGCTGTTGTTGTTAGAGTTGTGACTGAGGCCGCTGTTGTTGTAGTTGCAGTAGACGCAGTTGTTGCAGAGGTTGTTGTTGCTTTTGTGTCAGTTGTTGATTCTTTTTCTGTTTTAGCTGGCTTGTAGTTGTCGCCTGGGCATAAAATTAACAAGTTAAATAAAATATGTAAAACTTTATTGAGCATTCATCAATCAAAAATGCGTGATTAAAAAACTAAATTCCGATTATAAAAACTTGAACAGACAGACTCATAAAGGACACCAATCACACGAGCAAAACAAAACTACTAAACAGAAAAAAGATCAGTAAAATGAGAGAAGAGACAAAGTACTAAAAACAAACGAACTGATGTTCGGAGCAACGAAGATGTAACAGACAATGGTCCTAAGTGCCTTTTTAACCTCTTCCTTCATCTCCTCACTCCCCTCATCAGCTAACTCCTCCTCCCCCTCCATCTGATCATAATCACCACCATCACAGCCACCACCATCATCATCATACTCCTCCTGTTCGCCATCGTCGTTGTAGTAATTTTCGTCAGCATCTTCAGTGGCGTAGTCGGCTTCGAGGTTAGCATCCGCGCCATCGTCATCGCCACTGGCCGTATCTATGACCTGCATCTCTTCGCCATTTTCATCGATGTAATTCTCGCCATCTTTATCGTTGTTGTTATCATCATCATCATTATTATTATCAGTGGCATCGTCGTTTCTCTTTAGATTGGTATCATCCCTACCCTGAGAATCAGCATTACTCTCAGCTCCAACATTATTATTATTATTATTATCATTATTATTATTGTCATTACTATTGTCATTATTATTATTATCATTATTATCGATGTTGTTGTTATTATTATTTGTTGTTGTTGTCGTCGCGGTGGGTTCCTGTTCTTGTTCGGTGTCCTCCTCGACAGTCGGTACGTAAATCTTGAGGTGGGTGACGTCAGGCGAGATTTCAACAGCGTACTTCTCTGTAGAGAATGTCTGTTGTCGTCGTCAAAGATGACGTTGTTGTTGATGAAGTTGTTTGATTGATAACATAATAATATCAATTACTATATCATAAATTATAACAATAATTAAAAAATCAATAAATTTAACAATTTATATAATATTTAGATGTAAAAATTATAAATTTTTAAACGAAAGAAGAAAAACCCAAATAGCTAGCTAACGGCTATCAGCTTTGGCATGTTCTCGGCTATGAAGAGAAGCAACTTTTTGGTAGGCTTCTCAGAGGTCAAGATGACTAGCTCCAGTTGAAGGGCGTCTCTGATCAAAAGTCCCTTGGCAAGCAGCCCTACCCTCATTACCCCCTTTAATATCCTTCTATTGTCCCTGTAGTAATTAATTGTAATGACAAAAAAAAAAAAAATATAATTATAACGATAATAATTGCAAAATATCACAAAACCATAATTAGTATAGTAATAATAATTATTATTATATTAATATATTGCAATTTTATTTAATTTTAAAATACACTCAGATTATAGATTCCTACCTGATAGAATATTTATAACAGCCAGCAAATTATCATACATGGCTATTGCAAGAATTCATGAATTATTATTGGAACAAAAATAATCTTTAAGATAGGTGAAAATGACAGAGTTGTGAGAATTTCGTATCAACGTAACTGTTGTTATATATATGGCATGAATAAATTAATAGGAATATGAATAAGCATCATACGAATAAACGAACAAATGAAAACGAACGAACGAACAAACAAAACAAACAGTTTATTGAGTTCATCTGACACCAGCTTCAAGGACCTCTCACACGTGGATACAAATTCTTGGACTGCTGACAGCTATTTACGATGATTTTGTACGTAAGTAATACAGAAATTTAACCGTAGTAACGACAAGAAATTAATGAAAAACATCAACAACACTTCCATAAGAGCACAAAAAATAGAACCACTCAAAAAAAAACACAGCAACAAGTCAATAAAAATCAATAAAAAATACATCAAGACGGCATGAACAACAACCTCATGTTCAGTTGGATATATAGAGTTATGTTTAAAGACCATGTGCTGATTATCGAACGCCAGATTGAAGCAACTGTCGACATCTGTCGCCAAATGCTGCTGATAAGTTGAGGGGAATAAGCGACCGGCGCCTGACACGCTGTCACTTCCTCCAATAGCGTCCATGCCACCACCACTGTTGGTAGCTGTTTTCATCAACTGCCACTGCAGTAGCTCCTTCTCGTATTTCAAGGTTTCTGCTTGCTGCCTACAAAAAATGTGCAACTGACTGACTGACTGGCTACAAAAACATTCCCATCGTTATTTAGTGAAGAAATTGTATAATTTTAAGTAACTCTATCTACATTACAATTACCAAATCCAATCTCTCACATAAAAATCTCGTCCCAAATTTTACTAGGACCAACCAATCCAGTGACTTACCTGTACATATCACTACGCCCTATCATTCCTCTGCCCCCCGTGGTCATTCCTCCACCTCCTCCCTTCCTTTTATTCTTCCACTGCCCTTTCAGTCTATCCAGGTAACTCGGGACGCTGTCAACTTTCAAGGTGGGGTCAACTTTTTTCTTTTTGTAAATTTACAAAAATTTATAAAATTAAAATTTAACAAAACTTGAAAGATCACATCAAAGTAATCAAAAGCAAGTGTAAATACAGTGTCAAAGGATTAGATAAATTTGAAAAAAATCCCATAAATATTAAATACAGACACACAAACACAGACATACAGGCACATACATACAAATGGAGGAGACAGACGTATGGACAAAAATTTTTAACACTCAGGCCAACCTTGTATTGGAGACGGTGCCTACGTCCTTTTGAATGGACATACTTAGCGTGTGGATCGGAGAAGGAGCACTCGCACAACTTGCAGTAGAACTGGATGGCAGTGTTTGTCTCATTCATTGACTCCAGTACATACTCCAGGCCTATTGTTATTGTAATGAGATGTACCCATGTGATTGATGTTATAGTGCTGATGTTATAATACAACATTAGGCTACAGCGCTATCACTTTTGTTATGTAAATTCTGTTGTCTTTATGATGCCTACATGGCATTGCTATTGTATTAAATAGTAGTTAATAAAACTCACAGAAGCACAAAATCGAACAAAAAATGTATAGAAACACTCCCTCCATTAACTTTATAAATTCCTCAAATGCTGATAAAAATAACTCCTAACAAGCAGTGTAACTAACCAACAGGAGTTTCATTGGAATCCTCATCAGCTGGACTGCCCTGCCTCTTGAAGCCTGCAGCAGCTGATGCGTAGGTCGGCGGTGCAGTGGGCCCTATGGGGTCTGCTGATGTCGTCGTCGTAGATGGTGCCCCAGTCACAGACTTAGATGACATCGTCGAATTGAGGGTTTGACCACCTGGGTTGGTTATGTGTTGGAGAGTTAATTATTAACTATAAACAATGGTTAATTTATCGTTTACTTTTTTTTATCCTGGTTGAGTCATGAGAAGAATGCTTACAGTAGAAACACATTAATTCAACAACAGCAAACCACTGATGACATTAAGCCCATAAACAACAACAGCAAATTATAAAAAAAAACAAACTTGAAACCGACCAACAAAATTGATGCGGGGACAGACAATGACTTTCTTGGCGGGAGATGCAGAACTAGCAGCACTGGCACTACTGCTGCCTGCAGTAGTGCCAGTGCCCTCATCTGGAATGTTCTTGCCCATTTTTGTCTGAACTCGTAGAATCTGGAAAATATAAAAATCCATCAATTTCGATCAAAAAACGTTGTCTGCAATCTTTCTAGCATTATTTAATAACACTGAGTGGGTTAATGTAAATGGGATGTAGTTTAAGCTAGCAACAACATAATTAAATTTGTAACCACCGCACAATCAATCATATTCCATACAAATCAAACACGATCTGGATTTGAATGTAGAAACCTTAGATTTCAAAATCCATTCTTAAAAAACAACACACCAAAAAAAACACACTAAACAACAACCATGAACAAAAGAAAGAAAACATTGAAACTAATCACACACAAAACAACATTGAAACAAATCACACAAACAAACCTTCTGATGCTTAGCCCCCCTGATATGTGATGCATACGCATCAGACGACGAACAACTAACATCACAGAGCTGACAGTACATGTGACCTTTTGACCCTGACAGGATCAGTGCATGGTTACCCTGACTCTCCTTCTTTTTGTGCGCCTTTCCTTGTATGTGTGCCTTGTAAGCCTTTGAGAGTTTACCACAAATTATTTAATTAACTAATTGTATCATCATCCTTAATTTGCTATAAATAAAATATAGCAATAATAACTATAATTATATACAGAGTAATTAGAAATAATACAGTTTGTCACAAAATATAATTACTACATGCACAAAAAACAGAGAATTTTAAATTAACAAATACCATTGGGCAGTTAATGATGCTTGGATGATAAATTTTTTTGCCATTGATAATGATGTATGTAAAAGTCAAACATGAGAAAATTTTATTATCAAAAGAAAATGAATAATTGTCACACTCTTGTAATCATTGTTGCCCAATTCACCACCAAAGGTCAAAAAATCTAAATAACTAATTCACCATAATCCAAATCATCAGCTAACCAATTCTCCAATATCACCCAATTCACTACAATCCAAATCATTCACTGCATTCATTCATCAACTAACCAGTTCTCCAGCGCATGTGCACTTGCACAGTTCGCAGTACTTCCACTGATTGGGATCGATGACTGGACCCCTCCCACTTCTAAATCTTTCCTTACTCCAGTTTCCGCCTCCAACACCTCCTCCTCCACCCCCAGATGCCTTTGACCCTACGTGTTGTTTCTCTGCCAGATAGCTCTTTGCAGCCTTGTACACAGCATCATCCAAACCTGTTAAGTGTTGTATGTTGTGTGTGTGTTGCCTGCTGCTGTTGTTGTTGAAAGGATGGGTTGTATGTTGTGTGTATGTTAATATGTTAAATGTTGTGTTGTATGTATGTTGTATTTTGTGCGTATGTTGAACGTTGTGTGTATGTGTTGAATGTTGTGTGTATGTGTTGCACGTCGTGTGAAATCATAACTTGTTTTTAAAGTTACAAATTATTTCACTGATTTGCCTAGCACATCGGCATCATCATCAACCCACTCAATTAATTAATCAATTAACATTTATGAAAAATAATTAATGATTAATACTCATAGTAAATGATTAATATTCATGAAAAGAAATTATTTTATGGTACCTTTGTAAGTAAAACCTGTTGTAGTAGTAGATGTAGTTGCTTCCTTTGGACCAACTGCTGTCTCTGGGGTAGGCAAGACCATAGAAGTTATGATGATGATGATCAAATGAAAGAATGAATGAATGTAAGAGTGAATGAGCAGAAGAATGAATGTGAATGAATGAATTGTGAAAATTTATCTGCTACACTGTTGTATCTGATAAGTAATGAAAATAACTGAGATGGCAATAAATAATTAATTTCATGATAAAATTAAATTCAATTTAAAATTTAATAATTAGTTACATTTTGTCAAACTCCTGTAAATTTGTAAACGTTGAACAAAAATTTAAATCGAAAAATGTACTAATGCCAATAAATGAATTTCCCCAATTGACATTTATGATAAATTGTTATCATAATTATCCTCCATCGACTAACCAATTTTTAAATGATTGACAGTCTTCTGGGAGCCATCTTGTTTAAAAAGTGGCTGCTGCTTCATCAAGTGAGCAGTATCAGTGCTGTACGTAGGCATATGCCCTTTTGCCGATACGTTTTGCGAGACAGGACTCTGTTATATATAATTACCAACTATATTTTGTTTGAATTTTTACAACAAAAAAAAAACTAAAAATTGTCACAAATTAGTGGATAAATGACTTCATATTTACATCAATATGAAGTCATTTATTTTATATAAAAACAAAATATAGTGGTCTTGTAATATAACAGAACATCAATAAGCGTTCTCAATGGCTTTTACAATTTATTTATTTATTTAGTCATGATCAAGACTATCAATCAGTGTGAGTAAAGAGAATTTAATTATCATTTGTATGATTTATTTATTTATTTGTGGTTTAGTTTTTTAAACTGTCAAATTAAAGTTCGTTCAGGAATTTGACCGAATGGTTTCCAACTAGAAAAAAATGTTAATTAAATTTAAAATCATTAAAATTAAAAAAAACCATCATTTGCCCCAAAACTTCACAGACATACATACAGCGATCAACGTTCCATAGGGACCGTAGTTTGGGGTGGGTGCCGCCACCGGGATCTGCTGATAATTCGCCGGATAGAGAGCTTGGGGTGGATACTGGGTCGGGTAAATGCTTGAAAAATATTGAAAAGCACATAAAATCAAATCCTATTTTTAAAATAAATTAAAACATTAAATATAAAAAGAAATTAATTACTTGTAATGATCCAATGTACCGCCGTAGTAACCGTAATTCCATGCATTAGGATCCATTTTTTTTAAACAATGGCGACGAGGAATCAAAAACACTTAATAAGGAATGACCAATGTGCTATTTTTGGCTGTTTTAGATGCGTCATCTGCCGAATGTTAACAAGCAAAACTCACACACACACACACACAAACAAACACACACACACACGACACACATACTCGACACACACACATACCAACACGCACACACAGTTGAAAAATAAATTTTTAAATAAAAACACATCATTAAAAAAATCTACACAAAAAAACATAAAAAATCTGTCTAAAATTCGACCGATTGGGAAGCATTTGAAAGAGTTCTTATCTATAGTAGAAAAAAATCACACATACATTCTCTAAATATGCCAAAATTTACTATACACATCAAATTAAAAATATTTTAAAACTAAATTGCGTAAAAACTAACTAAATCTTGGTAAGTATGCATGTAACATTTTAAATGATATCTTTGCTACATGTTTTAAGTTATGATTTTAATAAAATATATATACCTAGTCAATAGGGACATGTTTTATAATAAAATTTCGTAATTTTCGGTCGGTCAATTTAAATTTACAATGCAGATAAAATATCGTTAAAATACAAATAATTAACACAAATAAATCACAAAAAAAATCACAAATAAATTAGTAACAGATGATAAAACGTTAGGTGTTGCATAGGGACGGGGCAAGGAGTTTATTGACACCTCATGGGGAATTTAATTTTCTTTTACGATTTGGTCTGTACTTGTAGTCCGGGTTGTCCTTTTTGTGTTGCTCCTTCACCATCTCAGCCAGCCTAGAGTAAAAATCTTTTACTGTTTGTGGTTCATTTTTCCACCTCTGACCCAGTAACTTGTGGACGTCTTTCATATTCGTTTGGCCTTGACCGAAGGCACTTCTGTTATCTTTTAGGTACAGAAGGAAGGAGTTTGGAGGTCTTTTTCTATTTTCTTTCGATGCTTTGTTTTTCTCATTGTTGTTATCCAGCGTTTTGTTATTTTCGATTGATAGTTTAATCTTCTTTCGTGGGTTTCTGTGTCCGATTTGGATATGGCTGGTTTGCGAGTCTGTGGTCCGTTTATCCGGGATTTCTGTAGGCTGATTCAGTGAGACGAAATTATTTGTCGAATGATTTGAAAAACTATCCTGACTGATACATTGGTCTGGGTCGTTTTTTGGAGTGATTCGCTCTGCGAAATGTTCAACAGTGTTACCGAAAACATTTCTACAATTATTTGCTGTCTGATTTGTCCGCGAGTCTGCCGCCGGAGGAGGTTGATTCAACCAGTCAACTAATTTGAATTGAAAATTAGAAAAATCATTTCGTGGAAAGAGATGCAGCACGGCATGTTTCTCCATTGTTAAATTTGATCCGAGGACAAATTTACTGACAAAAAAGTCATCAAAACCAGCACTTTGATCTGACAAAACTTGATGTGTTGGAAAGTATGAGGCACATGACGAGAGACTCATGCGATCAGTCAAATGTTTGTAATCAGTAGAGAAATTATTTTTCTGAAAGTTTCCGTAAATAACATCATCCAACGGAGTTGTTGATTTTTTCAGAAAGCAATTTGTTATTTTATCATCAAATGTTGCACCCCTGGTGTCTGCTGGATGATTTTGTCTCATGGGCAAAACTTCGGCAATCGGAACGTTAAATTTTTTAGTCTCAGGTTTAAATTTCACTATCGATTGACAGCCTTTACTTTCTGTTCTAAAAACTGGACCGATATTGATAAGGTGAGGGTTGGGATTGAAACTTTTGCAGTTTTCAATATTCGTCGTAGGGTCAGAGGTTGCGGAGTAGAAATTAGCCAGATTAACATTCCCCAAATGCTCATAACTTTTGTCTTTCAGCCTCAGAAGCGTTTCCTCTGTTCCTATCTCTTCAACCGACTGTCGTTTTAAAAAAGTCAAACACTTGTCAAAATATAATTACAATTTTCCATTTTATTGTAATTCAAGATGGCGTTTAAAATTTAGGATATATAACGATTAATAGGAAGATTTAAAAAAAATCATACCATATGCAAGTCGCATTCTACGTTTTGTTCATTCAACGAAACTACTCCTCGCATGTTAAACAAAATAAATACTCCGTAAACTTGAGTCTACTTTAAATAAAATATTTTCAATAATTTTCAACTTTTAAATATTTATAACCAGCAACTTTAGTGACAGTAATCTATTCGGTTAGTTCAGGCTTGGTAGTTTAAATTTCTAGATACGAGTATATTTCCTCCAATAGACAAAAAAATATTTAAAATATCACGGAAATTAATATCGATATTATTAATTAATTTATTCATTAAATAATTAAATTGTGTCGACAAATTTTGACAGAAAATGTACTCAAGTTTCCAACCCAAGAATGTTTCAGTCTAAGCTGCGAATCATATTTTTAAAAAGTTAAAAAAATTGGTCTAAAAACACTTCCAAAAACTTTTTGAAAGATACAAATTAAAACCATCAAATAGGTTAAATTCAAAATACAAATACAGTTTAAATTGCAAATAAGTAAGCTTTTATTTCTTTCAGTTTGAATGTATGCACTTGTCGTTGCAATAAGAACTAAGGAGTATCGTAATAATGTTTACATGTAAAGATACATACTTGTGCATGTGCAAACATACCACACACACACAAACGCACACACACACACACACACACACACACTACATACACACACATACACGCACACACACACATACATTCACGCTAAAAGATACACACATACACAGACATACAAACGCATGCAATCAGAAACACACATTTTAAGACAGATCCTCAACTCTCTCTTCCATTTCTAGTTTTTTTTGGCTTTCCTGATCTCAACGCCCAAAAAAAACAAATTTGTATAGTAAAAAACTTGAAATATGGTAAAACGTTTAGATTCGAATGAATAGTTGATTTTTTCAAGGCCTGTTTTTTTGTCGTATTGTCCTATATAATTTCAAGCGTTACTTCGCATTGAGTTTATGTTTTTTTAAAGAAAACACACACATGTTCATATATACATGTGTGTGTGTGTGTGTGTGTGTGTGTGTGCGTGTGTGTGTGTGTGTGTGTGTACACCAGGTTTTTGGTCCCCATGTCAGACAAATTCAGTCCAGTTTCGTTCGGATCAATAAAAGTTTGTCTCTTTTTCATTAAAAACGTTTCGTTTTCTTAACGAGCGTTATTTATGTTTTTTTTAATAAAATTATTACTAAATGTCAATAAATGACGTCATCAAGCGATTAACCAATCAACGGTTGGTAGAGATTTTTTTAAATTTATTTAAATTAATATACTTTTTTTTTAGTTTTCATGTAATTTAATTTATATTACAATTTTTTATCAATTTCGTGTTTTTAGTGCGAGGTTTTTAAAGAAGGAACAATTTTTCTAGATTTTAATTTTATTTAAAGTAAATTTTATTCAAAGTAAATTTTTTCAAAGTAAATTTTATTCAAAGTAAATTAGACGGAACACTTAAATCTCAACGTTTTAACCTATAATATTTCAATTTAATCATTTCTTTCTTTACATTTTGTCTATATCAGAATCCCTTCCTCTCCTTCGTCACCGCCTCGAGCTGTGTCACATTCAAAGGCACTCACAAGTCTGGCAACCATTCTCCACTTTGAAGCCATTGGGGCAGTACATTTTGCACTGTTTCACCGGGCATAGGGCATCATCTACTTTCACATCTTCGCACTTGCAAACATTGCAGCCATTCTCTTTCTTAAAACCGTTCGGGCAGAAGATCCGGCATTGAAAGTTTGGGCACTCTACGATTGGGAACTTGATGGGGACGTTTGCTGCCTCCGCTGAAAATTTTTTTTTTATTTATGATAAATTAAATTTTTGATAAATTTAAGTTTTATTCGTTTTATTTATATCTGACAAACGCCATCTTGCAAAAAATCACAAATTATTTTTTTTAAACATCTCTGCAATGCAACATCATCATGGGCATAAATTGTTTGTCATATGATATACTTTTATCTTTGAAGAGAGAGTTCAGTTGAACTAGGTACTCAAGCTAGGACAATAACTATGTTTCCTGACACAGCATTCTTGCCGTCTGAGCTATATCTCTCCAACCAAGACTTGATTAACATTTTGAAAATTGCATAATCGCAACATTTCATTTGCAACTCAAATTATTTGATACTCAAATCAATTTCGCAAGAGTTGGAATGAATAAATGAATTTAGTAAAAAAAAATGATCAAATTTCTACTAACAGACATGCACAGCCATGAAAACTGCCAAAGAAAGCACGATAAAAAAATTCATTCTGACTCTTCTTTCTCTCTTTACTTTCTTTAAAAGACAGTATTTTCAAACTCGTTAACAACAAAGATTAACTATTTCGTAACCGCTCCTTCTCTCTCTCTCTCTCTCTCTCTCTCTCTCTATATATATATATATATATATATATATATATATATATATATATATATATATATATATATATATATTATCCCAAGCACCACACGCACGCACACACGCACACACACGCACACACACACGCACACACACACACATACACGCGCGCACACACACGCACACACACAGTATTAATGAACGTTTCGACAAAGTTAGATTTTTTGAAATTATTTTCGCATCATGATTATTGATCGGACGAAACATAGTTAATTAATACGTATGTTTGCAGAAGTACATCTGCACGAAATTTGTCTGTCTACACGTCTGTCTACATGTATGTCTACATGTATGTCTGCGTATTTGTAGCCACCATTGTGTACATCTTCATCGTCATCTTCACCATCATCTTGAAAAATTTTCAAAATAGAGTTTTTCCCATAGACGGCACGTTTCTGTTCTGTTGTTTCAAATCATCTGCCCGCCCGATGATCAATTTTTAGAATAAATAAATAAATAATAATAATAATTGTAGAAATAATTGCTAGTTTTGGATTGATTAGATTTTTCAAAAGTTTGAAAAACTTAAAAAAAAATACTTCGGATACATATTTCTGGAATGCATCCATTTATTAGTTCGTTGTTGCGTTTTTATATTACAAAAAGTTTGTGAGTAACTAAATACCTATTTGTGAGGGGTCCTATTTTAATGAACAAATGAGTGAATGAATGAATGAATGAATGAATGAATGAATGAATGAATGAATGAATGAATGAATGAATAAAGAAAGGAAAGAATGAATGAAGGAAAGAATGAATGAACAAAACGAAAGATCGAATGTCAATATCAACCAAATGTTTGATGCATGTTTGTTTTTTACCGTGTGCTCATCCTAAAACAGTTATGATTGTATTTTATATAAATTTGGTCTTCTACAATAGAAATAGCAAATATAATTGATTAATTCAATCATTCATTTACTTGTTCGTTTGTTCCTTCGTTCGTTTGTTCATTCGTTCGTTTGTTCATTCGTTCGTTTGTTCATTCGTTCATTTAAGAGACATTTAGATCCTATATTGTTAACAAAACATTTTTAAAAAATAAAGGCACAATGTAAGTGCACAACCGTAATGAATGGCGTATATGCAAATTGCGTATGTATGGGGGAATTTTGTTAGGAGGAACCAAGGTTTCATTACCATTTGAATGGTGAAATGAACTTCTTTTCAATACCTTGTATCCATGTAGAAAATTGCAGACAATTGATGATCAATAATATGCGCTTGTGTGTGTTTGTGTGTGTGTTTGTGTGCGTGTGACTTATAGCAAATAATATTTATCACGTCTTTCCAAAGAACTGGCATTGATCAGTGTAGAATGTTGCTTAAAGTAAAAAAATTGAAGGTTTAACATTGCTTTTATTATTTAACATCGGTTTTAACTTTATGAAGATTGCACCGGCGTATTTACCAATGTCTACAACTACATTCAATTTCAACATTTTAATGATCGTTTTGTTTCCTTCCACCATAATGAGCCTCTCAAAAAATGTGGCCGTCAACAAGCCCACCACGTGCAGTTCAATTTACTACGGCAGCGGGCCGAACCGGATGGTCGACGGGGATGTGAACCCAAATTTTTTTGCGGGCCATTGTTTCCATGGGTACGATGATTCTGGGGGGCCCAACTGGGCTGTGGTCGATCTGACTGATGTCTACTTTGTGGATTATGTCGATCTGTATTCAAGAGAGTGTTGTCGTAAGTTCAATTTTTATGAATATTGGTTAATGCCTTATGTACATGCTTAAAATTTGTTTATACTTACATTAAAAAAATGTCATACTAGATGGTTTTACTATGCTTTACAGCGGCTTTATAAATTCTAATCCGTTATTCAGCGGAGCGGTTGGATTATTTTATAATTGGGTTAACTTCGGTAAATTATTTCGGCCCTGGATCAAACGTCATCAGAGGTGACTACCCTCTGTGTGGTCAGTACAAGTACAAGGGGGCCGTCAACGCCAAACTGACCCTGAAATGCAATGCCAACCTCCTATCACCCTATCGCTACGTCATCGCCCAACAACCAACCTCAGGGCCCGGATCTCTGACCATCTGTGAATTGGAAGTTTACCCCGCTATAAACTTTAACTGTAATTATTTTTTAAAACTTCATCTGTACATTTTAACTAACAATATTAAAACTAAATAGGATAATTTTCAAAGTTATATTTCTAACTAGTGCATTTTATCACTAACGATAAATATGAAAACTGTATGAAAAATGTTTTCAGTTAAAATCTGGAGACGTTACGCGAACCTCCGTCTGGCCGGCTACACATTTCTCGTGACACACGCCAGCCACGTGGCAGAATGTTTCTTCAACTGCGCGCCAGGCCTCTGCGATTCTGTAAACTTCAAACCAGATGGATCGCTCTGCGAGTTGAACAGCCATCTGAAGGGGTACGATCAAACAAGTTTGAATGTCAGCCCAGACTGGTCCTTTTTAGAAGTTCAGTATGTTTGAGTAGTGAGAAAAAAAATGACCAGATGACATGTCCGTGACGATGGGAGTTTTCATTCGTCACACGAAAACGGTTTAAAATTATATTTTTAAAGTTGCTCAAATTATAAACTTGTCCATACGAAACGATAACTTATATTGCGTGCCAATGATTTTAACGCCATTGTTTTGTGAAAATTTGTATTGTTGGAGTGAAAGTATGTATTGTTGAAGTGAAAATATGTATTGTTGGAGTGAAAATATGTATTGTTGGAGTAAAAAGATGTATTGTTGGAGTGAAAATATGTATTGTTGGAGTGATAATATGTATTGTTGGAATGAAAATACGTATTATTGGAGTAAAACTTTGGCAGTTTCATTCTAAAATACTTAAATTTATTCAAAAAATTTATCATGTGTATAGTTGTATATCTAGAAGTGTTATAAAACACGGCATCTGTTGACTGAAATACAAATATTTTTTACGTTTTTCTATCAGGATGAAACCAGCCTAGCTTTGTTGCTTTGAGTTCTACAACAAAACCTTCCCTCGTAAAAAAATAATTTTTAATTATTATCAACATTTATATATTTAAAAAATAATTATCAACATCAAAGTCGCTGTGAAAACAAAGACACAAAGACGGAACAATATTTTAAAAAATAGATAATTTTAATTAAAAGTAAAAATAACGATTGTCCTCGATCATACAAAGTGCTAGAAATTTGAGATGTTAGAATACTTCAAAAAATTATAAAATATCTTTGTACACATATAAATAATTATAGAAATTTATATACAAATTAGGATATATCTCAAAATATATGTAAAATACAATTAGTCAGAAGTCAGTTGATTATTTGATAGCAATAGCACACACGCAAACACACACACAGACACACACAAAAAAACACACACACACATCTATATATATATATATATATATATATATATATATATATATATATATATATATATATATATGTATGTATGTATAAATTGCATCATTACATTTCAGTGGTTCTAAACGATAAAGCAAGATGAGTTTGTTTCTGAAAAAATACTTCGTGGTTTTAGTTTTTATTTCAGCCGTTAATAAATTATTGTATAATTGATGTTAATATATCAGTAAATAAATAAACAAACAAATAATTAAATAACTAATTAAATAAATCAATTAATGAAGAAAAATTAATTAATTAATTCAACGGTTAGTTTAATTGTTAAACAAAACAAACAAGAAAATGTGTATATATAATTAAAATTACCATTCAAATTAGACCCGATATTTTAAAAAATATGATTCTATCATCTTTATTTTTGCTCTTCATCGTAGGGGACCAGAGTTAGTTGATCTAAATTGTTTTATATTTATCCGAAAATATTTAAAATATGTATTTAAATGTTTTTTAATCAAATCTATAATAATCATATTTTTAAACATATTCATAAATATCCTCTTATCCGTTATATCAAAATTAGATTTCTGTAGTATCATATTATTCTATTAATATTACGTTTGATTAATATTGCTAATAATTAATATTAATATTAATAATAATTATTTTTATTATATCTAATTATAATAATAATTAAACGTTTAATTGTTATTATCTAATAATAATAACAACAATTACTTATTATTATGAAATTATTCGTTTTAAAAAATGTTCTATATACTCGCGTGTTTCAGTGCGATTCGAAAATTAGCGTGCCTGCGTGTGTTCCGCTAAGAATCCATGTTCCGTTGCAGTCCATTCAACTTCCTAGTACATGTTTGTATGTACACACACACACACACACACACACACACACACACACACACACCACACGCACACACACACACCACACGCACACACACGCACACCACACGCACACAAGCACACACATCCACAAAAACACATATACACCAAAACAAACACACACTTACGTGCCAAAACGCAAACACATACACGCACACATACACGTGTGCGTGTATGTGTGCGTGTATTATTCCACTTTATAAGTATGGAATAAGAATGGTGTTAATGTATATATCTACTTAGATAGTATCAATATATTGATAGATATCTATTTGCTACTAAAATGACTTTGGCTTTCGCTACTTAATGTTTGCAAATGTCAAATGTCATTGATTTGCACTGCCTGTTGAGTAATGGTACTGCTATTGGTACTTTTTACCTAAACACTTTTCAGACTTTTACGGCATTAAGGAATTTATAATTTTTGAAATTATTCTTCAATACTATCATCTAAAAACCTCGCTTCAAGCAACATATCGAAACACACATGTGGCTGGTGCATGCATCCATGTCTTTTTATATTGTAATTCATATAATTTTTTGTCATTTGCCATTGAAATCTTTTGCAAACATTTATAAGCAAAAATTCATTGGGATTTTTTTTTAGTAAATTATTTTCAAAAAACGACATGGCATGAAAATAAATAATTCTGTCACAGGCATCAAAGCAAACGAAGATGCTAAGCGATTGTATGAGAGCATCATAAAGCGAAACGAGTACATAATGTTAAGACCAAGCTCCTATCCAGAAATTGATATCAACAACAACAACAACGACGACAACAACAACTGTAACGTCACCGACAGCAGCAACTGCAACTACAACAGCAACTGTAATGACAATAGTTGTATTGATTACATCTACTACAATAACATCAATGGCAGAAATGTCGTCGCTAATGGGAGCACGCCTTTGACTGTTAAGTTGGGATTGAGATTGTCTCAGTTGGTGGATGTCGTAAGTTATTCTTATTATGCTGTTTGGTAGTTTAGACCAGGAGTGGGACCCATCCCCGAGACCTTGTTTGCCAAAAAAAGTTGTCAGCCAGGCATTTTGACTAAAAAAAGGAGCCACAAATCTTAAAAATTCTCCCCCGGGTCGAAATAATTTGCCATTTAAGTACATATGCGGCCCTTCAAAGGTAAAATAGTTCTCAATGCGGCCCTCACAGCAAAAAGTTTGCCCACCCCTGGTTTAGAAATGTTGATGTTATGATGGTGTAGTGATGGTTGGTGCTATTGTTATTATTGTTATTAATGTAACGGTGTGATAAGGTTAGGAAGATGATGAAGATGATGACGAATTTAAAATTCTATCGTTTATCCTCGTTTTTTGTTGATGTGATCTGCTAGTGTGTTGATGTGATTATGTTATGATGCGTGCGTGTGTGTGTACGTGTGTATTTAAGTATGTGTGTGTGTGTATGTGTGTGTGAGTGTATTTGTGTGTTACTGGGTCTGATAATTGTGTTGACTTGTTATGATTGCGATTGTTTGCCTTTAATTACTATGGAGATCTCGATACACGATTATATATTTTTGATGCACTATTTTGATATCATTTGGCGATGTGAGTGATGTGTTTATGTTAATGTTATGGTGAATGGATGTGTTAATGTGATTTTATGTCGTGTGACTTTTGGGTGGTTGTCTGGTGATGATGATGGTGTTGATGTATTGATGCAATATGAGTGATTTTGGGGACGAATCAAAGCTTCAATTACGAATTGATGGGATAATGCGACAATAAATGGTTGTAGTGGGGGTTGTTGTGATGGTAACTTTATCTATTGTTGCGATATGTTGTTGTAATGACTTGTGTTTGTGATGATGTCTTGATTAAATGCAATTCTGTTGATGTAACGATGTAATATTGTAAAGAAGCGATGTAATATTGTAAAGAAGTGATGTAATATTGTAAAGAAGTGATGTAATAATGGGTTGTTTACGTGACAATGTAATAATGTCTTGTTGTTTACTGGCTATTTTGCTGATATGGTGATAGATAAATTTCACCCCAGATTCCTTTTTTGGATAAAGTTGTTCGCCTGTGTGCTGCAATGCTGTGTTGATGCCATGATGAGTCGTTTCATTGATTCTATGCGAGATAAGATAGCGTTATTTGGCTGTAATGTAGCCAGTTGATGTTACGCATGTAATATTACACTATTACATTGTTATAACTATAACATCATTATTACATTAATATTAATGTAACGAGTTGAAGTTTTGTGTTAGTGCTAATGTAATCGTCCTCAACCACATTAATGTCTTGGTTTTCAATGGTGCGATACGGTGCTTACGTTATGGGTGATAATTGCTTCGGAGATAGTAATCGAAACAAACATCAAGATGATGATAACGACTATAACAATGATGATGATGATGATAATAAAAATAATAATGATGATGATGATGATGATGACGACGACGACGATGATGATGGTGACGATGACGATAATGAGGATGATGATGATGACAAAATTTTCAAAATGGACAGGATGAAAAGAATCAGATAATCACCACCAATGTCTGGCTCATACAGGTCAGCCTTTAATATTATAATTATAATTATTATTATTATCATAATTATTATTTAAATTGGTGAATCTATTTTTAGACATTCTGAATTATTCCAGTCTGCCATTTAAAAGTGAAGTGAAATTTTTTTTTGGTTTCGCTTTCGTTTTTACGAAGGAAAAAATTTTATGGCCAAAAAAATTTAAACCGCCTCTCACAAAAGATTGATGTGGATTATTTTATCGAAAGATAAGAAAGCGTCGAGAGAGAGAGAGAGAGAGAGAAAGAAAGAGAGAAAAAAAGAAAGAGAGGGAGAGAAGGAGAAAAAGAGAGAGGCGAGATTCTCATAAATTTATTGATGATTCAGAGAATAAAGAAATGGAATGAAATGGAGTTATCCAGTCCTCTAAATACATCTTACTTTCATTGTTTATGAGTTTCTTGCAGCTCCTTCTCATTACATGCTTCTCTCTCTATAAATAAATAATATTTCCCTCTCTCTCTCTCCCTCTCTCTCTCTCTCTCTCTCTCTTTCTCTCTCTTACTAAAATAAAAACTACAAAAAAAGAAGATTTGAGAAATTTTCTACAATATTTATTATAGACTATTTAATTATTATTATTAAAAATTTTTAAACTAGTAAAATGCTTAGTGGAACAAGCGAGTTAAAATAGATTGTTCATAATTTTTTTTGAATTCTGTCGCAAGAAAAATGCAAAAAAATCTGAAAAATTACTCTTATTTTTCTTTAAACCAAACAAGCCAGTACACTGCCCGCACGATTGCAATGTTTATTTATCAGCAAGCACACGCACACACGCACACACGCAAACACACACACGCAAACACACAAACACACACATGTATATACATATGTGTGTTTTTCTATGTACGTATGCAAATGAAAAAAGCTAGGAGGAAGAGAGAATATGTAAAAAAGAGAGAAAGAGAGAAAAGTGTGTGTGTGTCTATTTGCGTGTGTGTGTGTGTGTGTGTGTGTGTGTGTGTGTGTGTGTGTGTGTCAGTGTTTGTATGTGACTCACTGTGAACACTCTCACAACGTTCTAAGCTAAAGAACGCTCGTTCATACCTTCGTTCCTATTGTAAGAACGAACAAACACAGACAAACAAACCAAGATGCACTGGATAAAATGAAACGAACGATGGAGTGTGCGTTTATATGTATGTGTATGTGTGTGTGTGTATGTGTATGTGCGTGTGTGTGTGTTTATGTGTGAGTGTGTGTGTTCTTCAACCAACAGATGCACGTTCGCTCGTTCGTAATGTACAACAATAATTGTCCATGTACAAAATGTATGTCTGAGTGGCCATATATTTTTATAGTTTATCGAAGTTTATTCATTCATGTAGAAAAAAAAGAAATGCAAGAAAGAGAGAGAGAAAGAAAGAGAGAGAGAGAGAATTTTTGAGAAAGCAAGAAAAAAAGAGTGACTCTTGTATTCGTATAAAACATTATTCATTGTGGCGAACACGTATATATCAATAGTACTTTTTTTCTGCTGCTTCTCTCTCTGGTTATGTACTTACAACATGCAACAACATACTGCAACATGCAAAAACATACAACATACAAAAACATACAGCATACTACAATATACAACAAACTACAGCCTACTACAACTACAAAATACAACAACATACAACAAACTACAACATAAAACATACAAAGACCTACAAAATACCACAACATACAAAGACCTACAAGATACCACAACATACAAAAACCTACAACATATCACAACATACCACAACCTATAACATAAAACATACTACAACATAAAACATACAAAAACCTACAACATACAAAAACATACAACATACCACAACAAACTACAACATAAAACATACTACAACATAAAACATACAAAAACCTACAACATACAAAAACATACAACATACCACAACATACCTACAACATACAAAAACATACAATAATTATACTTCTCTACCATACAAAGTTTAACAAGTTGCTCCCCTCAGACACGCAATGTATTCATTCATCTCCATTTTTAAGTGTTCGCTTAACAACGTGTTAATAATTGTAGCTTAGATAAACGTTTTAACATGAAGATAAAATGTTGCATCCACATTAAGCATGTAACCGTTTAAGTATCCTATGAGATATAGATACATATAGACACATACTCCACATGCATAAAAGTTCTCTGGGGACGGGCAATGCTAGATTGTTTGGTTTCTGCTATTTCATTTATCATCATTCTTTGCTTTTTTGACAAAGCTTTCGTTTTCATTCATTCATTTCGTTTATTCGTTCGTTCGTTCGTTCGGTTGGTTGGTCATTCATTTACTTATTCATTCATTCATTTGTCAATTTGTTTCTTCATTTGTTCATTTTCTAGATTGTTTGTTCATCCATTCGTTCGTTCGTTCGTTCGTTCATTCATTAATTCATTCACTCATTCTTTATCTCTTCATCATGTCTCAACCTTCTAATCCAATTTGTTCCTATTTATTGATTACATCTTCCATTCAAATTCATCACATCATCATCAATCGGTGCATGCTTCTTCAAATTAATTAAGGACAAGTATTCATTCATTCACTCACTCATCCATTCATTCATTCATTCAATCAATCACTCATTCATTCATCCAACCATCTAATCAACCAACCAATCAACTAACCAACCAACCAGCCAATCAACTAATCAATCGACCAACCAACCAGCCAACCAGCTAGCTAACCAACTATCCAACCAACCAATCGACCAACCAACCGACCGACCAACCAATCAACCGACCAATCAACCGACCAACCAACCAACCAATCAACCAATCAGGAATGGATGAATTCCAATTTGAAATGGGACCCGGCAGATTACAGCGGCCTGAACAAGTTACACGTTCCTCCGCAAGACCTCTGGATTCCCGACATTGTACTTTATAACAAGTAAATAGATGTGTGTGTATGTGTGTGTACGTGTGTGTATGTGTGTGTACGTGTGTGTACGCGTGTGTGTATGTGTGTTTGTGTGTGTGTGCGTGCGCTTTTTTCGGTTAAATTTCTACTCAATCGCCTTTACAATCATCTTTATCATCATCGTCATCACCATCATCATCAGGAGCGCAACTCACCTCTAACCTAACCTATTTGGTCACCTCCTCGCCACACCATGCAGCACCACACCTCGCCACACCTCACCACACAAATTCAATTTTCACACATGCACGCTCGCTGAACACGGTGGCGCGACATTTGAAACTTGGGCAATCAATATAAACAACAATCGTTTGCATTCATTCATTTGTTTGCTCGTTCTTTCGTTCATTCATTTACTCATTCATTCATTCACTCATTCATTCGTTCGTTCGTTCAATCATTTTCTTACAATTTGTTTTTCAATTACTTTTTGATAAATTTGTCTGTGACGATCAATGAGGTTGTTTTGTTTGCTTATTTATCTCGGTCTCCTTTCTACGTGGAGTATTCAACATTCATTCGTTCGTTCGTTCGTTCCTTCATTGGTTCACTCGTTCGTTTGTTCGTTCGTTTGTTCACTGCTTTTTCTTTTTTTTTATTGTAGGCTACTGTAAATACATTTATTTGTTTTTATCATTTAGTCAAACTTTTATTTGT